TACTGCAAATCAACTACTGCCAAACCTAATAAGCAGAAAGGGAAGGAAAAGGAGAAACCAACAGAAGTTCCCAAAAAGGTAGTCCCTCCTAAGAACTATAGGAAGCTGGACAGACCTCAAAAAGGAAATAATTTCAGAAGAAAACCTTCTAACCCCCATAATACACGAGGCTATACTCATTATGGGGTAGACAGGAGTTTTCCAAGAAATTCTGAGTGGAGAACTATGCCAAGATATAGTCACCCTCCACCCTAGAAGCTATTTGTGCCACCTAAGTATGCTTATAACCGACACAGGACACACTATGCACAACCTAGACAAAACTATAGGTTTTATCAACCTAGGTTTGCTAGGAGGAAACAGGAAATAGCACCTCCTGCACGTAGGAAGTTTTATGCCTATAACTATGATTACAATCCCAACAAGTTTAGAGCTGCAAGGAAAATTCCCTGTAACTTCAAACTTGATGTAGGGACACACACCATTAACTACTTCGGACCCAAACTTAATTGGGTACCAAAATCTTCCTCCTCCTAATGCAGGAAGCCGCTAAGTACCCAGGTGTCTGGTACTTAGACAGTGGCTGTTCAAGACACATGACGGGTGATGCGAGCCTTTTGAGCAATCTAATTCCCTATGATGGTCCAAGAGTTACTTTTGGAGGAAGCAATGATTTCGGCCTTACTAAAGGGCTAGGAAATCTGGTGTATAAGGGACTAACCATCCAAGCTGTATCTTATGTTGAAGGCCTCAACTATAACCTTCTTAGCATAAGTCAGTTTTGTGATAAAGGTTACTTCTTGGAATTTTGCAAGGACATGGCATCTTGTTGGGAAAAATATTATAGATTTTGATGATTTATTTAGAATGTAATAGGGACTTTAGGTCTCCCCCAATATTCAATGTAATTTTTCTTTTTAAGAAATATTGTCGAAACCAAGCTCTTGAGATTTCCAATAAAACTGTGATATTTCTTTAAGCGTTTTGATGCCTGAAGACTTGATCAAATTCAATGATATGAAAATTGGATATCTTTATCGGAAGTGTCAGAGACAAGTAAGGGTTTCTCAATCAGAATCCTCAGATCCGGAAGACCACATAAGAACCGGATGTCTCGCTACAACCCGCTGAAAGCTAAGTCATTCAAATCGGAAGACTAGCTCGGATCTCCTTCTCACCCGGAAGTCTGAAAATGACTCATCCGGATTTGTCAGCTAAGAATCGGAAGACTCACTGAAGACCGGAAGTCTTAGAAAGCGGACAAGTGAGAAAAGACTTAGATAATTATCTAAGTCTTGAATGAAGAAATTCTACCCGTTAGTAAGGAAAAATCAATCTCTTGATTTTCAATGGCTAGATTGAAGATAATTTTGCTGATTCAAGAACAAATTGCTCGAAGACAAAGTCTGGGCATCTAAAATTAAAGAGCCTGCTCAGAATTCCTAAACAAGCACTAGAATACAAACAGAGTAAAGTGCTACAGTCTTGAATTCTTGAACAAAAGCTAGAAGACGGATTTTGTGGAAAAAGGAATCCTTTCTCAACAATTGGGTAAATCCAA